ATATAAATGGATTAAACTCACCAACCAAAAGACGAGATTAACAGCTTGGATAAAAACATGATCCAACTATATGCTGCCTATAAGAGACTTCAGATCCAAAGACACAAATAGGTGAAAGTGAAAGAATGAAAAGAGATAGTCACAAAAATAGTATCCAAAAATGATAAAGATTGGTATATAATATTAAACAAAAATAATTTAAACTAAAAAGTTTATGAGACAGAGAATAATAATATATATTAATAAAAGGTTTAGTATAGCAAGAAGATACAACAGTTGTAAATATGCACCTAACAGATTATTAAAGCACATGAAGCAGACACTGACAGAATTGAAGGGAGACAGCTCTGCACTAACAGAGACTTCATTACTCAACCACACAGAAGGTAAAAGGAAAATAGAGGACTTACACAACATAATAACTCATCTGAGTCTAACACACATATACAGAACACTCTACCACCAACATACTCTTCTCAAGTGCACTTGGGACACGTTCCAGGATAGACTGTATGTTGTTAGGCCATAAGTTTAGTCTCAGTAGATTTTAAAAGATAGCTAACATATAAGGTACTTTTTTTAACCACAATGGAATGAAGTTAGAAATCAATAACAAAAATTAACTAGAAAAATCACAAGTTTGTGGAAATGAAATAATACACATTTAAAGAACAAATGGGTCAAAAAATTAGAATAAAACAAAAGAATGAAAATGAAAACAGCATACTAGAGCTTATGGGTTAAAGTGAAGGCAATGCTAAAGGGCAGATTTATAGCTATTAGGAAATAAGTGAACTAAAAAGTGGATTCTTTGTAAGGATCAACAAAACTGACAAAGCTTTATTTAATGAGAGGGAATAAGAAAAAGAAGACTCAAGGTATTTATAATTAGAAATGAAAGTGGGGATTTTGCTACCAATTCTATAGAAATAAAAAATGATTGTTAAGAGAAGGTTATGCACAATTGTATGCCAACAAATTGGATAACTTAGATGAAATGGACAAATTCCTAGAAAACAAAAAACTAAGACTAAATCATGAAGAAGTGTGAAATATAACCCAACCTATAACTAATAAGGGGATTTAATAAAAAATCTCCCCACAAAGTGAAGCTCTGGACCTGATGGCATCACTGGTAAATATGGCCACATGCAAAAAACCCATACTAATACACAAAAAAACTTTAAAAAATTGAAAAGAAGAAAATACTTTTTAACTTTCCTGTAAGGCCAAAATTACCTTAATCGAAAGTCAGAAAAGATATTATGAGAAAAGAAATCTACAGACCAATATTCCTTAACATTGATGCAAAACTCATCAATAAAATACTAGGAAAGAACCAAATAAACGACAGAACAAAACAAATTCAGCAGCACATTGAGAGTTTATGCCAAGGATTTGTTTTTGAGATGCAAAGATTTTTCAATGTACAATAATTGACCACTGTAATATACCACTTTAACAGAATGAAGAAAAAAATCCACATGATCATCTCAATTGATGCAGAGAAAGCATTTGACAAAACCCAACACCCTTTTATCATAAGAAAGACTCAGTAACTAGCAATAGAAGGAAACTACTTCAATATAATAAAAGCCATATATGGAAAAAGCCACACAGTCAACTGACACTTGGTGAAAAATTGAAAGCTTTTCCTCTAAGATCAGATATAAAACAAATAATTCTGATTTTTCCATTTCTATTCAACACAGTACTGGAAGCTCTAACCAAAACAAGTAGGCAAGAAAAAGAAGCAAAAAAACATACAAGGTAGAAAAAATAAAATGATCTCTTCATAGACTATATGATCTTTTTTTTAAAAGAGAGAGAGAGAGAGAGAGAGAGAGAGAGAGAGAGAGAGGAGAGAGAATTTTGATATTTATTTTTTTATCTTTTTAGTTTTTGGTGGACACAACATATTTGTTTGTATGTGGTGCTGAGGATCGAACCCGGGCCGCACGCATGCCAGGCAAGCGCACTACCACTTGAGCCACATTCCCAGCCCCAGACTATATGATCTTATATGTAGAAAGCCCTAAAGATCTGTCTCTCTCTCTCTCTCTCTCTCTCTCTCTCTCTCACACACACACACACACACACACACACACACACACACACACACAGTTAGACTGAATAAATAAATTCAGAAAAATTGCAGGATACAAAGTTAGTTGAATTTCTATTAATTAATAATGAACAATCTGGAAAGAATTACCAAAATATTTATATTTATAATAGCATCAAAAAGAATAAAATAGGAATTAACCAATAAGGTGAAAGATTCATTTTGTACAATGAAAACTGCAAATATTTCTGAAAGAAATTAAAGACAGGGATGGGAATAGGAAAGACAGAATGAATTGGACATAACTCTCCCATATTCATATATGAATACATGACCAGTGAAACTCCATATCATGTATCACCACAAGAATTGGATCCTAATTAGAATAAGTTATATGCTCCATATCATGTATAATATGTCAAAACACACTCTACTGTCATGTATATCTAAAAAGAACAATTTTTTTAAACTAAAAAAAATTTAAAAGAAATTAAAGACAGAAATAAATGGAAACACACGCCCTCTTCATGGACTGGACTATTAGGATGTCAACACTACCCAATCTACTGATTCAGGGCAATCTCCCTCAGAATCTCAATGACATTTATTGCAGAAATAGAAAAAGCCATCTTTAAAATCAGCATACTACAGTGATGCAGCCACATCAATGTTTATAGCAGCTCAATAATACAATAGCTAAACTATGGAACCAACCTAGATGCCCTTCAATAGATGAATGGATAAAGAAAATGCGGCATATATACACAGTGGAATAAAGAAGAGTGAAATGATGGCATTTGCAGGTAAATGGATGGAGCTGGAGAATATCATGCTAAGTGAAATAAGCCAATCCAAAAAACCAAAGGATGAATTTTTTCTCTGATATGTGAATGTTAATTCACACTAAGGGAGGACTAGGGAAAAATAGAGGTACTTTGGATTAGGTAGAGAGGAGTGAAGGGAGGAGAGGGGACATGGGGGTAGGAAGGATGGTAGAATGACACATACATTATTAGCCTATGTGCATATATGACTATATGACTGGTGTGATTCTATGTCATGTACAATCAGAAGAACGAGAAGTTATACTCCATTTATGTATGATGTATTTATGGTCATGTATAACTGATTATAACAAATTTAAAAAATCTTTAAAAAATCCCACTTAAAATTCATAATGAATCTCAAGGGATTTCAAATAACTGAAATAATCTTGAAGAAAAACAAACTAGAAGAGTCACATTTCCTGGTTTTTGAAACTTCCTACAAGGTCACAGTAATCAAAACTGCATGTTATTGGCAAACAGCAATGAAATGGAATAGAGAGGCCAGAAATAAACCCTTCTCATATGATTAAATCATTTTGACCAAGGCACTAAGACCATGCAATGAGGGAAGAGCATTCTTTTCAACAAATGGTTTGGAAAAACTGCATATCCACATGCAGAGGAATGAAGCTGGACTCTTATCCAACATCATCAATACAAATTAATTCAAAATGGGTAAAACACTTTTAAGTATAGACCTACAAGTATAAAATTCTCAGTGTGGGGGTTGGGGATGTGGCTAAAGTGGTAACGCATTCGCTTGGCATGCACGGCTCGCTGGGTTCCATCCTCAGCATGACATAAAAATAAAATAAAGATGTTGTGTCTGCCGAAAACTAAAAAATAGATATTAAAAAATTCTCTCTCTCTCTCTCTCTCTCTCTCAAAAAAAAAATTCTCAGTGTGGCTTTGTTGTGCTGTGTGGTAATTTCTTTCTATTGTTTTCTATTGCTTGGTAGAAAACAGAGGAAAATCTTCATTGCATTGGCCTCAGCAATGTTATTTTGGGTATGACACCAAAGGCGAGACAAAAAGAAAAAAAAAACAGACAAATTGGACTTTGTGAAAGATTTTTAAATTTGTTCATCAAATGACTCTATCAATATGTTTGAAAGCAACCCACAAAATGAGGAAGAATGTTTGCAAACCACATGTCTGAACGGGGATTAGTATTTCAAATGTATAGAGAACCCCTAAAACTCAACAACAACAGCAAACAACCCAATTGAAAAATGGATTAAAGCATTTGAATAGACATTTATCTAAAGGAAGAAGATATACAAATGACTAATAAGCACATTAAAATGCTTGACATCATTAATCATTAAGGAACTGCAAATCAAAACCACAATGAGATACCATCTCATGTTTATTCCCCATGCCATCCTGATACAGGTGACAAGTGTTAGCATGAAGGTGGAGAAATGACCACCCTGTCACTCTAGATGGGAATGGAAAACAGTACAGCCTTATAGAAAACAGTATGACGGTTCCTCAAAGAATTTAAAAAAGAATTACCATATGACACAGCAATTTCACTTCTGGAGCTACATTCCCAGCCCTTTCTGTTTGGGTATATAACCAAAAAAATCGAAATTAGAGTCTCAAAGAGATATCTGTACACCACTTTCTTATCAGCATTAGTTAGTCACATAGCCAAAAGGTGGAAGGAGCCCAAGTGTGCGTTGAAGGATGAATGGATACACAAATGTATCACATATGGACAATGGAACGTTATTCAGCTTTAAAAAGGAAAGGAATTCTGACACATGCTGCAACACAGATAAATCTTAGGGGCATTAGGCTGAGCAAAGTAAGTTGAGCCTGAAAAGTCAAATGCTATGTGATTTCATTCCTGTGAGGCACCTAGTGCAGTCCAAATCATACAGACAGACTGTAGAGTGATGGTAGCCGGTGGCTGGGGTGCAAAGGGGAGAATGGAGTGTACAGATTCTTTTTATAAGATGTACAGATTCTGGTGTACAGATTCTGTTTATAAGATGGAGAGAGCTGGTGATGGCCGCTCCACCTAATTTACTGAGAGGCTAAGCCCCAGGGTTCCAGAGAACAAGCTCAGAAGATAGTGGAAATGCCACCAATGTCATCACCTGGATAGATCCTGAAGAATCCAGTTGCGCTGCCAAAATACTGCCAGGTCAGTGTAGGGTCTCTCTGAAAATTCTCCACAAAAACAGGGTTCAGGGCTTCAGACATGTAGACTCCATTTAAAATATCTGGATCTGAAGGGCAAGATGATAGAAAGAACTTCAGGGGTGACTAAGGTGCAAGCAGAAGTAGCCAAATCCTCACATGCTAAATGGGCATGTGCATGCACACACACACACACACACACACACACACACACACACACACACTATACAAGAGCACTACAAATCTATAGGGTAAAAAGTTTGGATGTATTTGAGGGTGTCCTCAAAGGTTCATATGCTACAAGTTTGGCCTCCAATGCAGCAATTTGAGAGGTGGTGGAGTTTGGTGGGTAG